GATGACCGGATTCAGCGATCCCTGGTCTAGGGCCTCAAGAGCCTGGGCTGACTCTGACATCTTAGGCTGAGTTATTTTCCATCAAGGTCTTCCTTGATGCAGGTGGAGTCAGAATATGTAAGGTGATCTATGGCCATTTGTCTCTACCAGAGTGTTCTGGGCTAAGTGCTCAAACCTCCTCATGGGGACGCAGTGCATAGAGGAGGGAGACACAGGCTAAGCATGACAGTCCTATGTGTCTAAGCCCTACCCAGCACTGGACAATCTCAGAAAATCACTTACTGTGCACATGGAGTTTCACAGTTGTTTCTTCACTTTTGATATCGGTTCCCAGAATTTGTAGACTATACCATCCTGAGTCTCTAGGAATGACATCATGAATCAGCAGGGATCCATCACTATAAAATGTCTCTCTGCCACTGTATGCAGGTCCCCACACAGTTGATTTCTTGTCTATTGTGTATTGGACAATCACAAGTCTCCTGTTTGCATTCATCCTTTTGAACCAGACAAAGCCTATAATATTCTCTGGGGGATTGTGTATAAATAGAAGAACACTTCCTCCTTCAGCAATTCTGGATGGCACTGATTCAATAGTGGGTCTGGCAGAGGTGGCAAGGTGTCCACATTTCCAAAGGACTTCTAGAAGAGAGATAGATCCATCTAAATTGAAACTTTTGTATTTGAATAAGATGGGCCCTGTGTTCTGAGCAACTTTATCCATTGCTCAACCTAGGTGTGTGAGTGTCTCCCTGTCCTATCTGGTGGAGGTCATCATGTGACCCCCATGTTCAGTGTCCCCACACTTGTCATTTCCACTCAGTTGTGCTCTCTCCTTAGTTGTCACTGTGGCCCTGTATTACTACCATCAGACCTCTGCTCACATTTACAGTGTTGGTGTCAGGGTGACGCCTGCCAGACCTCTTCCCCTGCAGAAACTGCATCTCCACTTTCTGGCTTTGTTATCGCTGTTTTACTGTTCCTCTTGGGGTTCCAATCAGTACCTGACTCTGCACTCTGCTGTGTCCTGGCCTTGGTCTCTAGGCACCAAAATGAAATATCTGCACAACTGTGTGACACAGAAACCCAGTTGGGCACCCAGTCTGCCCTGTGTTCTCAATGCTCAGAAAACATGGAATTTTCTCCCAGCAGGAAGGTGAGAGAGATATCTGAAAGGCCCCAAAAGGACCAGCTGAGTGATATGTGGGGAAGAGAAAAATCTATTCTCAATGGAGCCACCAGTCAAAAAGTTCTGACCCAAGTCAAAGGCCCAGGATGTGTCAGGAATCTCACATCCTGGGTTATGGGAGTAGGTGCTCTGATTTGTGGACAAAAGGTGTTAGCTCCCTTGTCCCATGTAAGATTTCAAGACAATGCCTCTACTTCTTCTATGCCATGGTCTTTCTGGGATGCCTTGGACTACTATTGAATTGATTCCCCTTGGGTATTACATATTTTCCAAAGAAAACACAAAGGGAGAAGTGGAACATGATCTCCTGGAAGACACATTAAGATGCCATTAGGTCCGAGAATGCTGTGTCTGTGATTGTCAGGTCTGAAAAAACAGGGATGGAATCAGGCTACTAAATAATGTCCTGATTCAGGCAAATTCTTTTCCACTAGTTTATTGTGCATCGTGGTGCCACCCCTGGTAATCACTAGAGCAACTACAGTTCATGTCTGGGGAGCTCTCAGATCAGCATAGCCTGTAGGCATTTCCCTACAGGAGACAATTCCATGAGCTGGACCCCAGAGGACACTTGTCAGGAGGACCTTTATCCTCTCTCCCTGTCCTTGGTTGCCCTGACTATCCTGTGAAGTCTCATAAGCCCACCAGAACATAAAGGTAATGGCCTGGGCTCCTGTCTAGCTAAGCTCTCCCTCCATGTTCAGTCTCTGGAGAAGATGTCCAGGGGACCTAGACTAACCATATCTCTCATGACAATGTACTGGCTGGTTCCAAAGGTGCAGGACTTGGACTACTAAAAAGCATTGTTTCCTGCCATCAGGAAGTCAATATCCAACCTTTGTGAAATGCATCTCAGGCCTAGTTGGAGTAGAGTCTGGAACAGAGGTCTGCAGCCAGGGAAACTTGGTTCTCACATCACTGTGAAGATCCCAATTTTCCCCCAACAGGCCCAGTGTTGATTCCATTGGGATCTTTCTCAAGGACAGGATCTTTGGGTGTGAGAACCCAAAGACTCTAGACAGAGGCTGTTATCCTAGGTTGAGTTAGCCACCATCCGTTAACCTGTCTGTAGAGTGAAGTGAAATGAAGGACTGTGATCTATTGCCATTATTCTATACCATGTGTGCTCTGCACTGAATGCTCCAATCCTAATAAGAAGATGCAATGCAGAGGGGAGAAAGGCACAGAATACTCTACTGTGTGTATCCAATGGAATGAGGCCCACCCAACAGCAGAATTCACAATCACTTACTGTGAACATAGAGGTACATGGATGTTTGCGACACAGTATCTGTGTGTCTATTAAAGGTTTGTAGGGTATAAATTCCTGTGTCCTTCTCATTGACATTTTGGAGGAGCAGGGATCCATTGCCATACACTGTCTCTCTACCACTATATAAATGCCCTGGCACACTTAACTTTTTGTTTGGTATATATATTGCAATTGTATGATTCATGCTTATCTCCCCTTTGATCCAGGCGAAGGCTATAATATTCTTGGGCAGATTGTGGACAAGAAGAAGTACATTGTCTCCATTGGCCACATGGGGTGGGACAGATTCCATGGTAAAATCATCAGTGGTTGAAAGGTGCCAGCAAATGAAAATGGAGGCTAGAAGGAAACAAGAATTACCATCAGTATTGAGCCGATGTGGTCATCACTCAACTTAGGTGTGTGGTTAGTGGTGTGGCCATGCTTGGTAGATATGAGCAAAATGACTTCCATTCCCTCAGAGCCTCTGACTATGTTATTAACTCTCTCAGAAATTCTCTGCTCAGGTGTCTGCCTGGCTCTCCCCTCAGTGTCCCTATATCCCTCCTCACATAGAGTATTTGGTGTGAGGAGCAATGCCTCTCTTAACTCCCCTGCTGGAGAGTCCCCACTTTCTCATGTTTTCCTCCATTTGCTTTGTGATTCCAATCATCCCCACTGCTTCATCTTGCAGATAAATGGATATCAGGTCCACTAGAACAAGGGCATTGTGAGGACAGGTATTACTCTGACCTTTTTGGAAAGTTAAGTTCCTGGAAAAGATTCAGACACAAGAGGATAAAGGAAAAGGAAAAGGAAGGAAAGATGGAAGGAGAGATGGAAGGAAGGAAGGAAGGAAGGAAGGAAGGAAGGAAGGAAGGAAGAAAGGAAGGAAGGAAGAAAGGAAGGAAGGAAGAGAAAAAGAATGTGTCCTCATGGGATTATCTACATAGTTTCCAGGTTTGTAGTTAGTGCCAATAATTACATTCAAAGGTGATTTATATTATTTTAGATTTACTCATGTACTGTATGTATTTCTGAAGGCAGGTGTCTTGATGTGTGCATGTGAAGGTGTGTGCCACATATAGGTGTGGAGGAAAATGTCTCTGTGGGTGCAAGTGTGGGTGTATGTCACAGCACTTGTGTGTGAGCTAATAATTAAATTCAGGTTGTCATGTCTCCACACACAGAGTCCTCTCAATGGCCCATCCCTTCTTGATTTCTATTTGGAGAGTCACCCAGTCAGGGTTTGGGACATCAGTCTTTAGAACATTGCAGGCAACATAGTTGACAGGGTGTTCAAGGCTTTTCTCTTCCCCTCATCACCTCCTGTCTGCTCAGAGTCTCAGGCTGCTGAGCCTCTGTCCCTTGCTGTATCTTCTGCCCCATGGCTGCAAAAGCAAAACCCAAGTCTCCCCTCAGGCTCCTGTCCTCTTTAGGAAACTCCAGCCTGCCTCCAATTTCCTCTCTGCCCACACAGTAAGAGAGTGAGTACACTTACCTGTGAACAGGAGCCCCTGCCAGGTTGTGCAACCTTTGCAGGGAATCACGGAGGGCACTTCCATCTCTTTTCTCACTGTGCTGTCCTCTCTGTGAGAAGTAGAGTGACAGTTCTAGCAAGGCACCCAGTCTCTGCTGTCCTTTTTTCCTCTGAGCTGTTTCCTTGAAGGCTGGAGTACTTCCCAGAAACCAATGGGCTTTCAGTGGTGAGATCTGAGTCCAAGACACTGCTGAATCGCTTCTACTCCCAGTGCTACCCAGAATCCCTCTCAACTTCGCTTTATGTTTCTCCTCCAATAAACACATTGAGCAACAGTGCTGATAAGCATCTCCATGCCTCCAGAGAAAATTGGCTCATCCTAGGACTGACACATGCTTTATCTTGCCTTGTGTCTGTCAGCACCAGAGGGAGCCTCCAACCTGCCTATGTGTCCTTGTGACAGAGAGACCCAGCTGAACATGGAGAGTCTGCCCTGTGTTCCCAGTGAACTGGGAAATTGCTATTTTTTATTATTATTATTATTATTTTACAACACCATTCAGTTCAACATAATAGCCACAGAATCCCCTGTTCTCCCCCTCTCGAAATTGCTATTTTTTAATCCTAGGAGGAAGGTGACAGAGATGTTTCTGAAGGTTGGAAAGAGATAAACTGAATGATAACCAAGGATGAAGATCAATCCTTTATCACTAATGTCACCAGTCAAAGTTTTGAACTAGGATAGATGCCCAAGGGCTGTTGTCTGAGGCGTTGCATGTGCTCAGTGCTGGGGAAGATGTGACCAGTTGTCCTTGAAAGAACTGAAGTTTCCATCTTACTATAAAGGGGGTCAAGGCAACATTTCAGCATTATGTGTTGGCTAAACTTTATGTTGGGTGAGTCGATGTCCTCCCTGATCTTCCTGGGTCACCTTTGCCCTTTGCCTTGTTGATAACCTGGTGGTGATCCTGTCTTCCCCTATGTGAGACTCCAGGAGAGAGGAGATGTTCAGGTTTTCTATGCAGAAAGTTTTCTCAGAAAAAGCAAGCATCTAGTAGGTCTGAGCACAGTATAGTGAGGGAGCTCCAGTTTGGTAGAGACAGGAATGGAAACAAGTGTGCTAAACAAGGTCATTTTCTGACAGTGAATGTGTGTCCTAATATCTTTCCCTGGAGATCACTAGGAGACTATAATCTCAACAGGCAAGGTCAAGAAGTCAACTGTGGCCTGCCCTGATACCCTCAACACAGGTGGGATTCAGGTCTGTTATCATGTTCACTATGCTCTCCAGAATTCCTAATAACACCTAGTATAGGGTAGGTCCAAACGTGGTTGCAGATTTGTCCTGGGAAGTCCAGGACTGAAGTTGGAAGCAATGTTCATCCAGAAGACACACATCCTCAGGAAGAATCTTGTGGTCAGAAAATTCAGAGAAAGTTCCTGGACATTTCTCTTGAAACTAAAAAGAGAGGACACAGCTGGGCATGGTGGTCCATGTATGTAATCACAGCTCTTGGGAGGTAGACATAGGTAGATCTCTATAAATTCAAAGCCAGCCTAGTCTAAGCAAGTTCCAGGACAAATAGAGCTATTAGACAGAGAAACTTAATCTTGAAAAAAGGAGAGGATATCAATTAAAGTAGGGGCTGCACATGAATGTTCTGGCCCATCACTGGTGTCTAAATCCTTCCTTCTCTTTACCCACGGGGTCCTTTCAAGGTCTGCTCTTGAGTACAGGGAACATTGATTCAAATGGATGTGTCATCTGCTCTATGTTTGCTTTTCTCACTCTGATTGAAGAAAATGCCCTGTGCAAAAGCAGCTGAGGGGAGAGTCAAGGGTTCTTTTCCTTCTGGGGCTGTGTCATATTGTAGAACTGAAGGAAGTTAGGGCAAACAAACATGCTGCTCTCTGGCTCATTCACTGTTTCACTCTCCATCCCATGCTTAGCGATCTTTCTGATACAACCAAGGGCCATTGGCCTAGCGATGGTGTTGCACATAGTGTCTTGGGCCCTCCTACATTACCTAAGAAAATTCCTCACATATATGTACAACCTGACCTGATAAAGCAGTTACTCTGTTGAGACTCTTTTCCCCCAGGTGATGTTGGACTGTGTCAAGGTAACAATTAATGCTAACTAGCATACTGTTTCAAGCTGCTAAGTCCTCCTCCTCCACAGGAAGATTTCAAAGTGAGTCCCCCATTCTCCAAGGGTTTATCTCTCTTTCTTTGCTGTGGTCATCACATGCCCTTGTGTCCACTGTGTCCATGGACCCACACAGCCAGACCATGAGTGCCAGGGCACAACTCAAGGACATGTACCCTGGATTTCACTTTTCCCACTTACCAGATCCTGAGCTCAGAGACACTGTGATGTCCACCACAGACATTGTGAAGAGTAAGTGAAACAACATCTTCAAAACATTAGTTTCATGCAGTCATTAGTTGGCCACTCCCACAATTTCTGTGATACCTTTACACAGCACATCTTGTAGAAAGGACAAATTATAGTTCAAAAGTTTTGTGGCTATGTTGGTATCCCAATCACTCCATTCTATATCCCCATTATTAGTAGTTTTATCTAGGATCACCTTCCTAGATTCCTTGGAGTTTCAGTTATACTAGGTTTTTAGCTCCTCTCAGAGATGTCCCCAGATTCCAGTTGTCTCTCTCAGTATTATCTCTCTCTCCATCATTCCCTCATAAGAGCCCTCCTGTTCCAATCTCCACACCCCCATCCAGATGCCAGCCCCCTTTCACCCATAATGTCTATTCTATTTCTATTTCATAGGTGTGGCCTTGTTGGAGTAGGTGTGATCTTGTTTGGGAAAGTGTGTCACTGTGGAAAGGAGCTTTGAGGTCTCATGTATGCTCAGGCAACACCCAGTGAGAAATACCATTTCCTCTTGCTTCTACATCAAAATATAAGGGGATTCTCAGCTCCTGTTCCAGCCCCATAATGAAACCATGTTACACCTTGATGATAATGGACTAAACCTCTGAAAATGTAAGCCACCAAATAAAATGTTTTTCCTCTATTGCCATGGTCAAGGTGTCTCTTCCCAACAATAAAAACCTAGTTAACACAGGTATGTCCCTTGTATCCCTGATCTCTTCAAGACTTTTATCATGAAGGGGTGTTGGATTTCATCAAAAGCATTTTCAGTATCTAATAAGATGACAATGTGTCTTTTTCTTTCAGTTTGTTTATATAGTAGGTTACAGTGACAGATTTTTGTATACTCAACCATCCATGCATCTCTGGGATGAAACCCACTAGATCATGTCCAATGATCTTTTCAATGCATTCTTGGATGTGGTTTGCAGGTATTAGATTAAGTATTTCTGAATCTATGTTCATGAAGGAGATTGGTCTGTAATTCTCTTTATTTGCTGAGTGTTTGTGTCCACTGCTGAGCCTGGTACAGTGGCCTCCAAGGCATTTCTGTTGAAGGAAGTCCTACAGGTTAGACATAATAAGACTTCCTATTGAGCTTCTGAGAGAAGCACCCTCAGACTTTCCTCTGGACTTGTGTGTACATAAATCTCACACATGAGACAAGGAGTAGGCCTGTCATTAAACTAACTACCCAGGATGGACTATAATGAGGGACAATCTTCCCAGGTATTTGATGATGACTGAGATGAGGCACACATCCCCAAAAAGCAAAGGATGAGTCTCAGAATGATCTAGCAGAGGGAAGAATATGGAGTATAGGTGAACTTGAAGCAGAAACATTTTCATGGCCTGTAATGCCCTCTCCTGCACAATTAAGGCCCATAGATAGATATTTCCTGAAATTCAGGTGGCTGCTTCCTTCCTTCTTCCCTCCTTCCTTTCCTTCCTCCCATTCTTCTCTTCCTTTGCATGTATTTGGCTACATTACTGCATGTATATTTGTGCACCACAAGTATACCTGGTGCCCACAGAATCCTGAAGGGGGACTTGGATCCCATGGAAATGGAATTACAGACTGGTTATAAGCTGCCGTGAGTGTTCTGGGACCAGAATATGTCTTCTACAAGAGCAGTCAGTCCTCTTAACCACTGAATCGTCTCCCCAGCACTCCCAGGTGGATGCTTTCAGAAGCAGATCTGACTGATAGAAGGCAATGAACAAGAACTGGCTGGAACTCTGGCTGCAAGGGACAAGTGTGTTTGGAAGATCTGGGTGAGGACTATGGAATGCTGTCTCTGTATGAAACAATTGTTACTAATACCCATGATCTAAGGCCAATCCCCAAAGGTATTGCTTCTCTAAAGAGCACAATGAGGTATGATGAGGGACAGAGGCAAGAGCTGTTTAAATTCAGTGTCTTTCTGAGCAGAGAGAGCCCTGTGTAAGATGCAAGGTATAAAGCCCTTTCCTTTGCCTTTCTGGAGTAGTGATATCAGCATGACATAAAACATAGGATTTCCTGTCCAGTACGTGGGCTGTGGAGTCCTGAAATTTGGCAGAAATTCTCCAGAGGTGGGTAATTTAGTTCTAGAGTCAAAACTAAATCTCTATTTGTTTTTACTTCATAGAACAGACATCTCCTCAAGTTGCTAATAGCCAAGATTGACTTCTGTGAAAAACAGCTGCTCCTGCTCCACATATACCTGAGAAGGCCTCCATACCCCACATCCCACTGGATATGTGGTGTTACACAGCTAGCTTGTCTGCCACCCATGGCCTATGAGACAGATGTACATGTATTTTCTATGTCTCTATCCCAGTGATAATACACATTGTTAATGAATGTTGCCATGGTGATAAGGTAGCCTCAGATAAGCACAAGGTCCTGACACTTGGACAAGACAGCTGTCCAAATCAGCATCATCTATTACCACTTGTCTACAGGAGAGATGGTTCTAGTCTTAATCTCTGAGGACATGGAGTTTTCAGGAGGACCTATGGCCCCTTCCCTTCCCTTGGGGATCCTGACTGCCCTGTGACACATCATAAGCCCATCAGACCAGTTGGTTAACAGCCTGTGAAATGGTGAAGCTGGGTTCTCCATGCTGAGTCTCAGAAAGAGATGCCCAGATGAATAGTGGATACCCAGGGGCTGTGTAATACATCCTGGAGCTGGAGTTAGGTAACATTGTGAAGCCTCTTTACATAGGTGCTGGAAATTGAACCCAGGTCCTCTGGAAGGGCAGAATGTGCTATTAAACACTGGTCCAAATCTGCAGCCCTCCTTTCTCATTCTCTTCCTTTTTCCCTCTGTGGTTCCGGTCAATGCCTTAATTCACTTTCTAAATGCCTGTCTGCCTTCTGGTCAATTGCACCTAGGGATTTGGGAGGACAGAATGCCCCTGCTATTTGGGGATGTCCCGGTGCCTGGTAAAGGTTCAGACACAAGTGGATGAATGAAAGAATGAATGAATGATACAAAGACATTCATTTGAAGGAATCTTGTGTTGGTAGATTACAAAATAGGCTAATGGCACAGTTTGACTTTTAATTTACAATTAGGCATTTTAGGTATGTGGGAAGAGATAGATAGATAGATAGATAGATGATAGATAGATAGATAGATAGATAGATAGATAGATAGATAGATAGAGAGTATTGATGTAATTACTCATGCACACATCAGTGTATGGGTGAGAAAATGCTATTGCACATGAATGGAGGTTAGAAGAAATGAGGGAATTAGTTCTCTAACTCACGAAGTTGAATCTGGGAATTGAAGTCAGCATGTCATCTTTGGCAGCAAGTACCTTTACCCACTAAATCATCTTAGTGGCCCACCCTGCTCTGACTTTCATTTAGAGGGGTACCATGTTATATTGGGGAACATCAGTTTTCACCAAATAATGGTAAATGAGGAAAAACTTTGAGTGGAAAGCAATCTGATTCCCCTCCCCTTACTGTTTCAGTTCACCAAGGGCTTCCTGCTACTAAACCTGTGTCCTCCTCTGTCTTCTCATTTTGGACTGTGAGAACAAACCCCTAGCTCTCTCTCAAGCTCCTGTCTTAGAAGACTTCAACAATACTCTGAGTTTCCCTCCTATCATCTACTGTGAAGACATGGTCTTTGCAAATTTGTTAGGACACAGGTCTGAAGATTTAGGCCAGGTTCCCACAGCCTTAATC